CCAACCTTCATGTGATGATTCACCACTATCTGTAACTCCATTCCAGAGGATTCCAGAGAATCCTCTTCTGACCTTTGCAGGTACTATGCACACATAGAGGTAAAAGTCTCCTGCACTTAAGATAAAATTTTAAAAAGTGCGAAGGATAAAGAAATATCAAATTATAAAATTTGGGGGCTTCAGTGGGTGAAAGGGCTTGCTACACAAGCCTGAAGACCTGTATTTGTTTCCCAACTGTCATATAAAAAGCTGAATATGGTCATGTACATATAAGCCCACAGCTCCTACAGCCAGAGCGGAGAGAGACAGGAGAATAGTCCAGAAGCTATAGGGCCAGCTAGTAGTGTGGTACAAACAACCAGATACTAGAAAAAAACTGACTGTTCAAAGTTGTCCTCTGGCTTCCACATGGATGCCATGGTTCATGCACCTCTGCACTTACACATAATAATAATAATAAACCATAGGAAATTTAATCTATATAATTGTTATTTTGCAAATGAAGTCAGTATCAGCTGAAAAACTTAAATGATGTCACCAAAGTCACAGAGATAAGTCATTAATATAACTATAACTGATAACCTGGGCCTCTTGGTCCCATATGTTCTGTGTGTGTTACACATGCCTGTACAATAAACTAGTATACATCTGCCAAATTTGGGAACTATGGAAATGGCTTAGTGGCTAAGAGTGCCTGCTGAACAATCACAGAGATCTCAGTTTGAATTCCCAGTGCCCGTATAAAAATGTGGTCATGGCTCCACGTGCCTCTAACCCCATTTTTGAGGGGTCAAGGCTGAAATGGTCAAGATTCTGGTTCAGTGAGAGATCCTATTTAAAGGAAATAAGGTGGAGAGTGATAGAGCAGATCAACTAAAGTCCTTTTCTTATGTCTCTGTCTCTGTCTCTTTTTCTCTCACCCTCTCTTACCACACACATTCACCACAGACATGACATATTATGTACCATACACATACACCACAGACACACATACACACACAGGTACCCATGCACCACAGACATGACACACATACACCACACACACTATAAAAATACTACCCCAACATTTTAAAGAATCTGTTTTTTAAATGTTCATTTTCTGTGTGTGAGTGTTTGCCCGTATAAAATGTCTCTATACCGTTTATGTGACTGGTGCCAGAGGAGGCCATAAGAAGACATCTGATCTTCTGGAACTGAAGTTACAGATAGTTAAAAGCCACCATGTGGGTGCTGAAGAACAAAGCCGTGTCCTCTGGAAGAGCAGCCAGCCAATGCTCTCACGCCTGAGCCATCTTTCCAGCCCCCAAGTTTCAGAATGTTTCAATATACTAGAGAGTGCTTTCGCTGCTAACTTAGGAAGTGCATGATCCCAGGTTTTCTACAGCTCTTAGTGGGAGTGTGATCACTTAAGGTGGGGTTCACTTTCTCTTTTCTCTCTCTTGTATTTAGCAAGTAGTTCTTGGTATAATAGTTTTGGCAGCTTCCAGATACAGTGGGTTTTTCTTTTTTCTTTATCCTCCTCCTCCCTCTTTTTTTTTTCCTTTTGTATGTATATGTAATTTGCCTACATCTGTGTACCATGTGTGCACCTTGGACCCACAGGAGACAGAAAGAGGTCTTCAGATCACCGGCATGTCCATCTGCTGGCAGACAGTTAGGAAACATCATGTGTGTACTAGGAACCAAACCTGAGGCCTGTGGAAAAGCAGCCAGTGCTCGTCATCACTGAGCCATCTCTCCAGCCCCAGGGACATTGATTTTATGACTAAAGGAGGGTGGCCTGTGGCCTGTGTGCTGACAAAGGGGAAGGTCTGTGTCCTAAGCAGTTTGGAGTGAGATGGCATTAAATTGTGCTACCCAGATCAACATATAATTTAAAGCTTGTCAATTGCTTACTTCTGTGGTTTTCCATTTCATATTTTAGACTTTACTGGATGACAAACAGCTGAAAAGGATATACTGGAAAGTATAAACACAGATAAGAGGATTTCATCTGTGTCCATGCTTTAGCATTCATTGATTATGCATGCCCCAATTCATTGAGTTTATTTACATATTTACTATAGTAACTTAACGTTACAAAGCTTTCTCTTTTTTGCATTATGAATATTGTTTTAATTAAAGAACCAGTGATATACTTAATAATTTTTATCTTCACAATTCAAAAATAGCAGTTTTACATGACTAAAACTATCCAGTGAAATTTAAGATTTGTGTGGCACTTTTCTTTGTCCTTTAAATATAATACCAAATAAAATTGGTACTTGGAATAATTTTGGTTGTGTGCAGTGACAGATTTGAACACAGAGCTTTGACCTAGACAAGTGCCCAAGTCTGAATTATACTCCAGCCCAGAAGAATTTTTTCATTGTGGTCCTGTTATCATTTGACATATACTTAGGTTTATTTGTTTCTATTATTTTCAGTTTGGGAGCTTAGGTAATTTGTGTTCTTCTCAGTTTATTATTGTTATTATTATTATTATTATTATTATTATTATTATTATTATTTAGTATATAAAATGTTTATATGGAACATGCTGTATAACAACAGGCATAATAATATAAAACACATTATCAAAGCAGTGTCTCCATTTGTATCTCCTGACCCCATTCCACATATAACAATTACTTACTAGTTTCTAATTTTCTTTTTTGAAGATAATAAAATATTTTTATATGCACTTTAACATGTTTTAAAAATATAAATTAGTGTGTTGTAGATATTTTTCTGTACTTTGCTATAACCTGAAAATACTCTACATCCATAGGTGTTCTTCGGTCTTCCTTATTGCCTTGTGCTATTGTGCAGTTCAGACAAATCATGTTTTTTTTAAATCAGTTCCCTACTGATGGGTGTATTGATTTTTTCCAGTTATTTGCTATTCTAAATAATGTTGCAATATAAAATCCTGTATACTTGTTTTGATTATTTGAAAGTGCATGCTAGGGGCTAGAGAGACAGGTCATCAGTTCAGAGTGCTTGTTCCTTAAGCCTTGCCTGTCACTTCAGCTGCTGAAAATCGGGCACTCTTTTGGCCTGCAAGTGTACCTGCACATTAGTGCACATGTGATTTTTTTTTTTTTTTAAGAAAGAGAAAGTGCCTCTTAAAATGTTTCCTTTTAGTGGAATCACTGATACATGTGAGATTTTGTTATATTTGCCACATTTGACATTGTCACGTTAAAGATAAGCTGAGTCTGAGGTTAAAGATAAGCTGAGTCTGAGGTCGGAGGACCTGTTTTTCTAAAATCTTGTCAGGAGAATGTTGCTATGCTTAAGGTTCTGTTCTGTGGACAGTTTTATTTTTTGATAAATAATGGCAGATCACATTATAGATGGTTGTGAGCCACCATGTGGTTGTTGGGAACTGAAATCAGATCTCTGGAAGAGCAGCCAGTGCTCTTAACCTCTGAGCCATCTCTCCAGCCTCAGAGTAATGTTTTTAATGAAAGCCAAGTGGTGATTGGGATGGTAAAGTCTAACTCTTGAAATTCCTGTACATTGTGGACATCCTTTTCCTCCACCATCCAAATAGCATTCTGTGTATCTTTCTGTGTTTCATCATCCTTTCTTGTACCTCTTGGAGCCTCCCTCTCCCCTGTGCTCCACAGGGGAGCAGTTAACCTTTCAAGTTAACCTCCAACTGGCAATAACAGGAATGTTAAGGTGCTTAAAACATGTATTATATTGACAATTGTATATGTTTGTCTTACTTTTTTATTTAGGCCCATGTAGATTGTTTATAATGCTTGCCTAAAAGTAAAAACCAGAGTGTAGGTTTATTTTATTTGTCAAAAATTTTGAGTTTTTGTTTGTTTGTTTGGTTGGTTGGTTGGTTTGGTTTGGTTTGGTTTGATTTGGTTTTCTGAGAGGGTTATTCTTTGTAGCCTTGGCTGTCCTGGACTTACTTTTTAAACCAGGCTGGCCTTGAACTCATAAAAGTACACCTGCTTTTCCCTTCCCGAGTGCTGGGATTACAGGTGTGCTCCATCACGCGCAGCTAATAATTGAGATTTACTGACATCTTTCCTGCTGTTCATCCCTACCCACCACTGTCTTTTCTGGCCCTGCTTTGGAGTTAAGATCTCCTGTATACTGTTTGAGCTAAGCAAAAGGAGTAAAGGATTTTCTTAGTGTTAAACTTTTAGAATGTGTGAATTGTTTTGATATGTGGTTTTAAGTAGGAAACCTGCAAAGGCACCTTAAATTTATTGGAAAGACACAGGACAGTTAGCATTCACACTGGCTAAATTTGGTGATTAAATATTTGATAATTTATTTTAATGACAGATAAAACTTTAAAACTGGAGTCTTAGTTAAAATGTTCAGTTTTCTTAACAGTTCTTTTTAATTTATTTACCTTTATTTTATGTGCATTAGTGTTTTGCCTACATGTATGTCTATGTGATAGTATCAGATTTTGGAATTTCAAACAGTTGTGAGCTGCCATATGGTGCTGGGACTTAAACCCTGGTCCCTTGGAAGAGCAATCAGTACCCTCAAATGATGAGCGCTCTCTCTCTCTCTCTCTCTCTCTCTCTCTCTCTCTCTGAGACAGGGTTTCTATGTAGCCCTGGCTGGCTTTAAACTCACAGAGATCCACCTGCTTCTGAGTCTCACATGCTGTAATTAATGGTGTGTGCCATCATGCCAGCTGCAAGAGGGTTAAGTCTTTTTTTTTTTTTTAAGGTTTATTTATATTGTGTATATGAGTGCTCTATCTGCATGTATGCCTGTGTAGAGGAAGAGGGTAACAGATCACAGTATAGATGGTTGTGAGCCGCCGTGTGGGTGCTGGCAGTTGAATTCCTCTGGGAGAGCAGGCAGTGTTCTTAATCATCAAGCCATCTCTAGCCTGAGGTTTAAGTGTTAACATAAACTTTTCTACTTGATAAAGGTTACATTTTGTGTACATTTATTCTTGCATCCAATACAAAATCAAAAGTGATAATTAAAACAAAGTTTGCTACATAATACATTCTTTTTTTGTCATCAAGATAAAGCAGAAGGAGAGAAAGAATAATTCTGACACCTTATATGAGGTTGTGTGTTTGGAAAGTGAGTCAGAGAGAGAGAGGAGGAAAACTACAGCCAGTCCTTCAGTCCGCCTGCCACAGTCTGGATCCCAGAGTTCCATGATCCCCTCTCCTCCAGAAGATGATGAAGAAGAAGGTAAGTTTAGAAAGGTTGGTTTGAGTATAGGGATGGAGGGATGTTGTGGTGTTGGAACTCTTAATTTTCATTATTTAAATTTTAATTTATTCATTTTGTCCTTTTAAATATTTTTTCTCTTGTAACTTAATGTTATTCTGTGGAACATTAGAAAGTCATTTCATCAAAGATCAGAAAAAAATATTCATGATAATTCACTTACTCAGGGAGTGATTATTAATGACTTTGTATGCTTCATGCCCGTGTCTTTGGTGTTTTTAACAGATCATACTGATGATTTAACTCTACATATTTTATTATCATTATGTAAATACAAATACTTGTATCCAGTTACATGTCATAATTCATTATTTTAAAATTTAGTATACAGAATATTAGGTGTCATTATAGTATTTTCAAACATTTAAGGTAAAAGTGGGAAAAGTGGGCTAGGGAGATGAACAGGAAAGAAAATTCAACAAAAGACATTGTTTATTTATTCCACCACTTACCATTACTTGTTCTTCTTCTTTTTTTTTTTTTTTAATATTTGTTTCTTTATTATGTAGTCAGTGTTCTGCCTGCATGTATGCCTACATACCAGAAGAGGGCACCAGATCCCATTATAGATGGTTATTAACCACCATGTGGTTGCTGGGAATTGAACTCATGACCTCTAAAAGACTAGCCAGTGCTCTTAACCTCTGAGCCATCTCTCCAGCCCCTCACTACTACTTCTGTATTAGACTCTTAGGTTACTAAGTTTGTTGTTTACTATTTTAAATAAACTTAAATATCTTTGTCTATAAAGCTACTTACTTTGGAAGAGGAGAAAGAACATTCCACGTATTGAGTTCCATATTTTATAGATAAGTGGTTCCTATCACTGACATAATAAAGAACTATATTAAAAGCCTGTATCGAAAGTAAAAGAGAATTAAATAAGTTATAGAAGCATATCTATGACAGGATTATTCCCATTTGTACTTAAATACTAAGAACATATATTATGGCTTTATGTTCCCAATAAATGTTTACATTTGCCTTTTGTATTTTTATGTGGTTCTTTTTCATAAGCCTAACTTTTACTTATTACAGATAATGATGAACCTCTCTTGAGTGGATTTGGTGATGTATCCAAAGAATGTGCAGAAAAAATTCTTGAAACATGGGGAGAACTGCTGTCAAAATGGTGAGTTATAGACTCACACTGCTGCTCACCTGTGACTCATGTCTTACCTAATTCTCATCCTAGAACCAACAAGAGAGATCTGCAAATAAGATCTCACTCTATGATCTATTAGACATTTATAAGGATAATAGCAGAATGAATCAGTCTGAGACCATCAGAAGCCTAATAAAATCTTAGTGATAGGAAAAATGTCCAGACATGGAATCCATAGACACACACAGAGAGAAAGGGGGTGGAGAGGGAGAGAATGAATGAATGAATGAATGAATGAATGAATGAATGAATGAGTTGGTCCTTACATTGGAGAAGATAGGAATGGTTGCCTGGTTAATTATAACCAAAAGAACTGTATTGCCACTGCCACCGTCACTCTAATGCCAGACCGAAGGAGTATAACTCTACAATGGCTTGCACAAAAGAGACTACCCCACAAATCTACTTGTAGCTACAAAATCTATTCGCAAAAGTGTGCCCTCTACTAGAGGAATGAGGAAACAATGATTACAGGCCTGGTTCTATAGTACTCTGAAATTAGATGCTATCAGAAGTCCATTGAACTTTACATTTTAGACATCCCTTACAGCCACTAGTGCAGGAAATTTCTTTAAGTTTCAAAACAGATATGTCCTTACAAAATGTAGCTTTTGGTGCTGCATAGAAGGCAGGTGAGGCCTGGCTTGCTTGCCTTTGTGACGATTCCAGTCTGCATGTTACCCAGGCCAAATATTTAACAGTTGTAACAGTGGCCCGTTAGCAGGCCACACATGTGGTGAACTGCCTTAAGAATCTACGATGATAGGGCACAATTCATCTTCATAGTTGGTTTTCATCTCTTCCAATTATTAGTAATTCTCAATGTTATATAATTTTCCCGATAGAGTTTAAAGATATCTAAACGCAACTGGCAAGTAGAAAAATAGGGGACAGAAATCAGGTATTGGGAGATTTTCCATTGCCATTTGTGTGGGAAAATTTTGATAGAAAGTTGAGGCAAAAGAGCATTAATATAATGTCAGAGTGCTTCAGTAAACAAAACACCAGCTCACTTTTTACAACAATTCTAAATAAATCTGTTAAATTGGTATGAAGAAAGAAATATAGGTGTGTGTGTGTGTGTGTGTGTGTGTGTGTGTGTGTGTCTGTCTGTCTGTCTGTCTTGTCTTCTTAGGTTAGGTGTTTTCCTTTTCTGTGATACATACGATACCTGGAATGGCAAAGTAGGATATCCCAAGCATGATATATGTGCCTTACTGGCTTCATTATTTTTACTACTAACGTGTGTATATTCCCCATTTAGTCTTAGGGTGGGAATATATCTCTAATGGATCACTTGTCCAGCATGTTTGTTGCCCTCAGTTTAATCCTCAAAACTGCAAATAAAACATGGCTGATTCCTACAAACTAGGCATGGTGGAGCATGTCTATTATCTCAGCATTGGGATGTGAAAGATTAAGACTTCAAGTTCAGCCTGGGCTATATAGCACAATTGTGTCTCAAAAACAAGAATTTGGCTGAGCATCATGATTCATGCCTTAAACACCAGCACTGAGGAGGCAGATGTAGAGGATCTCTGTGAGCTTGAGGCCAACCTGGTCTACATAATAAATTCTAGGCCAGCCAGGGCTACACAGTGAGACCTTGTCTAAAAACAAAGAGTTTGACAACAGCATTAGGAAGCACTATTCTTTACCTTGTTTATAAAAAGTATATTACCTTAGTTTGTTGATTAGCATAACTAGAGATAATCTGGTGAGACATATATGTAGTATCTTTTCCTTGCTAGGATGTCTTGGAGGAAAAATCTAAATCTGAAAGTGATCTGATCTTGTTTCCATCGCTGATGTCCTGATTAAGATTGTCATAGAGTTTCCTATGGGCCTCATATACTAAGTTTTTTTTTCTCCCTCTTATAAGTTTTGACTATTAAGCTTTCATTGTATTTTTAGTAAAGCTGTGTCTCAGCAGATGTCAGTACCCCTAAGGGCTAGCAGTACACATTGGCATCATCTGCTGTGACAGTCTCACAGTGTTTTACATTTCGGACAAAACACTGTCTTCATTGGGAAATGTCAAATATGTACAAAAGGAAATGGCAAACCAAAGCATGGGTTGTCTATAGACACGTAACTATAGTTCATGAACTGTGAAAAGCCCTCAGGAATGTCTCTTCTTAAATTTTGATATTTCTTTACTATCAGGAGACAGGATTGCAGATACTTCTTCAATTTCATTTTCAGCTCAGTGGGTTTGGAAAGCATGGTCTGCTGCTGCAGGGATTTTGTATGTATGAAGTGTTTCTAAACCAACCTTGTAATTCAGTGTTAACAGGTCTTCGTGATAGCGTAGTTAACACCATTTCCACATTGTTAACAGTCCAGAGCTTGTTTTCTGTCCCGGGGCTTACTCTGTAGACTAGGCTGACCTCTAGCGCACTGAGGTCCACTTGCCTCTTCCTGGGATTTAAGTCAGTGTGCTACCACCTAATGAGACTTCATTTTACTTCTATGAATCCAGCACACATTTTGTATAATGCCTTAGTTTGTTTTGTTGTCAAACTTTATCACTCATAATCAACTGTGTCCTCCCATTCTCTTAAATATTTTAACTGAATTCCCATCTGTTTCTGCTGTGAAAAGATTGTTTCATCTGCTTTTGCTTGTTTGAGTTATGTTTTCAGATTTATCTAGTTTGTTTCATCCATCTTAACATTTCTGTCCATCCTGTTTGTTCTAGAATGGTAATCATTGAGCTGGTGTGGTGGAGCACACTTGTAACCCCAGCACTCAGGGAGACAGAGGCAGGTGGATCTCTCTGAGTTCAAGGCCAGCCTGGTATACAAAGTGAGTCCAGGACAACCAAAGCTACACAGAGAAACCCTGTTTTAAAAAACCAAAGTAAAAAGAATAGTAAGCATTGAAATATCATGGAACTTAGAAGTTTGTAAAACTACTAGTAGCCCTATTGATTAAAATTTATGGATGTTAGGGTTGTAGTGATGGTAGTTTAAACATTTATCATATTACTAGCACAGCCCCAAATTGTACGCTCTCTCAACTATAATAATATTACAGACTTTTGCATTTTCACACACAGGTTAGATATTCTAATAAGTAATCCGCAAACCCAGAAATTCTTGACATAGCCAGCCTGATCCTGAAGCTAATTTATTTAGTGAAAGTAGATTTTAATAACTATATTTGTGTGTCATTCTCCAGGTTCATTTGAATATGACTCTTGGAAGATAGGAGCACTGATGCCCTTAGTATAAAATAGTATGCTGGTTATATGTAGGGTTAATATTGTCAATGGCTAAAGTCATTCTGAAAGAAATTTTACCAGTATAAGTTAGGGTTAGCAAGTTTTCTTTGATGGGCCAAAGAGTAAATATTTAAGACTTTTGTGGGCTAATGATAGGTCTATCACAACCATTCATCTCTACCATTAAAAATCAAAACAATCATAAACAATAGCTTGAAAAGTACACATAATTGTGTCAGTGGTAGTTTATTTACTCGAGGCCATAGTGTTTCAAACCTTTAAATAGCAGAATGATTAATATTGTTTCTTGTTGACAACTCTCCATATGTACCCATATGCAAGGAGAAATTTATATGAAATTGCCCTTATCTCTCAATTCAGGGTACAAAATTATAGAACAATTAAGAACAATTAACAAGCAACTTTTTAATACATTGTGCATTATTCTCATAGAATTTGGGTGATGCGAAAAGTATCAGACGCTTTGTGTCAGTGACTTGCGCTCCAGTCTGATAGTCACAGGAGCATTTCTGTCTAGATCTTGCTTTAGTGACTCATTAATGGTGGCTTTCCAGTCACAGAGCAGCTGTGATATAATGGATGGAACACTCATCATTCTGAAGTCTCAGGACTGCCCACCTTTAGTGAACAGACCAGCCACTTTGACCTCTCTGCATCTGTAAACTAGAAACAACTTCTGCCTTTATGATAGGGTCAGTTTAAGACACAAAGCACTGAGATCGTGCCAGTGTTTGAAGACAGGCTTTATTTTGCTCATTTCATATATGAAGCCCAAAATTTTGTAACTTGCATTATTGTTGCACTAAGGATGTTCTTAGCAGCCTGGTGTGGTTGTGCATGCCTTTAATCCCAGCACTCGGGGAGGAAGGCGAATCATTGCAAGTTCGAGGCCAGCCTGGTCTATAAAAAGCGAGTCCAGGACAGCCAAGGCTACACAGAGAAACACTGTCCTGAAAATGTTCTTAGCAACCACAGATATTTAAGCTGTTTCTTGAAGGAAGAGACATAATATCTGTTGAAAACGTACTGAAATATTTTAACTGAGAATATGTAAGTATTCATTTCATAGCTGCAGTTAGAGGGCTAAGCCTTTGTTTTTTGTGCCCATTCTTTTCAAAGATTCATTTTTATTCGTGTGTGTGTGTGTGTGTGTGTTTGCCATTTGTGTACAGGGCAGAGGTGAGCAGAAGAACTGGAATCACAGATATTTGTGAACCAGCTGCAAGAGCAGCAAAGCATTTCTCTAGCACCTACTTGTAGTTTTGCTCTAAGTTGTACATAAACCACAACCAAAACGTGTCCTTGTAGTTTCTAGTTACTGGTTGGTTGGTTGGTTGGTTGGTTGGTTGGTTGGTTGGTTGGTTGGTTGGTTGGTTTTCTGAGACAGGGTTTCTCTGTATAGCCCTGCATGTCCTGGATCTCGCTCTTTTAGACCAGGCTGGCCTTGAGCTCAGACATTCATGTGCCTCTGCCTCCTGAGTGTTGGGACTAAAGGCGTGTGCTACCACCTCTCTCTTCCAATTCTTTTTCGATAATGATTTAAAGTGGTTTGCAAGTACCATGTTAATGCTTAATCTTTCATTATTATGACTGTGTTACCTTTTCAATGTCTTTGTAAACCATTTTATTTTCATTAAAGAATCTTTCAGAGCAGCTTCCTTTGCTAAAGTAATGAATTACGGCTTTATTTTTAGGCATCTCAACTTGAGTGTGAGACCGAAGCAGTTGCCATCCTTAGTGAGAAGTGGTGTCCCAGAAGCTCTTCGTGGAGAAGTCTGGCAGTTGCTCGCCGGCTGCCACAACAATGATCACTTAGTAGAAAAGTACCGAATTCTCATCACAAAGGTCAGAGAGTTTATAAGGCTCAGAGTGAATGGTGGAATGTTTTTTAATTTATCTTAAATAAGTATAGCCCAAAGATGTTTTCTCTCTTGGCACAAAGACGAATGTACAAACTTTACTTTCTCAGTTGAGTTTATCTCTGTGGTAAGACATGTCCTTTAATGCACTGTGAATCTCAGTTCTTCCTGTCTGGATTAGCGTTTTAAGCCAGGTCATTTGTGTTTACAAATGTTTCGTTTTGTTGGTGTTGGGTTTTTGTTTTTAATTCTCTTGTGGGTTTTTTGTTTGTTTGCTTTTTGGTTTTTGAGACGGCGTTTCTCTGTATAGCCCTGGCTTTCCTGGAACTTGCTCAAACTTATAGATTAACCTGCTTCTTCTGCCTTGCAAATGCTAGGCTTACGGATGTTCACCACCACACCTGACTGTTTGTTTGTTTGTTTGTTTGTTTGTTTGGCTTTTTAAGTGGTCTTGTATAGAGCTCACAGTGCAGGCAAAACTGGTCTTGAACTTGTGGCAGTGCTACCTAAGGTCCAAAGTGCTGGCCTTATAAGCATGAGCCATAACACCCAACTATAATTCTGTAGCCTTAGTTAATATGCTATAGTTCATTTCTCTAAAGCGAAACCGTCATTTTTATTTACAGTATCACTATCTCTGTCCCTATCTCTCTCTCTCCTTCAGTCTCTCTCCCTCGCTCATCGCTACTCTCTCTGTCTCTCCCTCTCTTGTTCTTTCTCCCTCTTTGCTCAAGTTAAGGCATTCTTCAAAGTTTTACAAACAAAGCAAGAAAAACAATAATTCATATTACAGCATACAAATGTAAAATATTTTCCTACAAAGCTAGGCAGCATCTGTGCCTTTTGTACCCATATTACTGGGTTTGGCTCTAGTTTTCTTAAAACTGTGGAAGTTTATGTACTAGAAAGCAGCTTCTCTAATAGGTGGTAGGTAAATTTGAAACCTGGGTTATGAAGATACAGATTCCCTCACAGCATTTGAAATTATTTAAATTTTTGTTTACATTTTATTTATTTTGTATGAGTATGTGAGTGTGTGTTTGGGTACCCTAGTACCCCAGTACATGTATGGGTGAGGATCAGAGAAAAACTGTTAAGAATCCATTCTCTTTATCTTTACCTGGGGCCCAGGGATCAGACTTAGTCTCTTTAACTACTCTGCCCAAACCTGAGAATTTTTGATATGACAAAAGGTAGAGTCTTTGTAAAGAAAATATGTAAATTTTATTACAAGTGTATATTACATTTTTAAAATAGTAAAATAATCTTCTAGGAAAAGAACATACAGAAAGGACATATGATCTTCAAAAGAAAATGAATTTCATACATGAAGAGTTGTAGGCTTCAGAAGCCAAAGTCAAGGACCTTTTGGCGTGTGCCCGACAAAACACAGTGGGTGTCATAAAGGAGTGGTTTATTTTCCCAGGAGAACCTCAGAGTGTCTTTTTATCAGGTGTACAGCTTCTGAGACAGGCTCCAGAAAAGAGTTTTACTTGTCTTACCCACTTCATGGCTTAGGAGACACTGCAGAACAGTAGGGTGGGAAGGATCTAGGAGCCAGAGGGAAGGGGTGGAGGACTGTCTTCCAGGCACCGTGTGGCCATTACACTCTTGAATTCTCAGCAGCTGAGAACACCTGCCCAAGACTTGCAAGTAATCGTGCCAGTAATAAGTATTCATTCCATCATGTAGGGAGGAGGTCTGGCTGGGTCTTACCCCTCCTTGTAGATATAGCAGTTAAATACCACAGTGTCATAGACACATTTTCTCCAGTGGTGTAGCCATTGGTAAGTGGCCTAGCTCCTGAAAATAAGCCTTTACTTGTGCTGCTGAAAGTAACCCTAACTAAACTTGTTGCAGTTACAAACTCATAGCCAGACCCTATGAGCTCTAAGCCAGTATTTCTCTCTTAATTGCTTGTACAGTGGGAGTGGTGGAGGCCCAGCCACATCTTACAAGTCTAAAAATCGAATGCACCAATGACAGTGTCATCACTGAGCAGATTGTTTCCTTCTGAAATAAAAATATCGCTCTGGAATTTAATAGGCAAGGACTGAAATCACAAGAATGTAGCTCTGGGCACCCAGCAGTGAAAGGCTGTCTGTTTAGCAGGAAACACATGGAATTAGGAGGCCTTAGCACTGGCTCAGAGCTCTCACTCTTCCATTTATAAACTCACATGAGGTTTCTGCACCTTGAACCAGTCACTGGGATGTCAGATGAGGGTGGTTTCTATACTACTGGATTATATGCACAGATTTAACCATCAGTGATAGAAAATATTTTTTTGAAAATTTGCTTCAATATCAGAATAGGTCTCTTTAAATTACTTGTGAAAATAAAATTTTAAAAAATCTGCATACCTTTGTGAAAACATTTCTACTCCATAGAGTGTCTGTCAAATCTGTCTAAGAAGGTTTCCTGAATTCCAACAATGTGAATATATTGGCTTGACCATTTTGAAATTGTTAGTATTTAGAATTTTGTTTTTACCCACAGAAGTTTAATATCATTTAGCCTGATACAGATTGACTATCCCTATCTAAAAGCTTGGGGTCAGAACTGTTTCGGATGTGGGGTTTTCTGTTTGGTTGTGGTGGTGGTGGTTATGGTTTTTGGTTTGTCTTGGTTTGGTTTATGTAGACTATCAGTTAAACCCTTATGATACGAGAACTGAAGTGCTCTGACACCTTAGGTTAGGACAGCAAGTCTTTCAGTGCTTGGCTTTAGGTCCTGGACTTTAAGAACAGGAATGCATACCCTGTATTATGGGTGCACCAGCAGTTACTTTAGCCTTATTTGAAAGCTCTTTTAACCTAAAACCAGAATTTCTATTGTATTTGGCTTGTATTGTTTATTCAGTTTTTGTTTTTTGTTTTTTTTTTTTAAGGATATCTCTGTTCAAGTCCTGAGAAAACTCAGCAGTTAACTATACACAAAGCAAGTAGGGGCTCAGTCTTAGAAAGTGACATATTAATGGTTTTGTGTAACAAGGAAAATATTGAATCATTTTATTATGATTATTTTATAGTATTTTGTTTTTCCAGTGTTGGCTTTATACATACAAGGCAGTGCTAAACTATTTAACTGTTTCCAATCCCAACTGAAGCCATACATTTAGGTTTAAAGCAGTATTACAGGCCATGATAGTGCAGAGACAGGCCAGTTCTATGAGTTTGAGTACAGCCTGCTCTATAAAGTGAGATCCTGCCTCAAGTGAAGCAAATAAATGAAATCAAGAAATAAAAACAGTTTGTAATATGATTGCGTATACCTGATAAAAGGCAGGTTGTCTTCCTTCAAATCCTAGCTCCACTGTTTTCTAGTTGTTGTTGGGTATTTAATAACCCTAGGCATAAAATGTGATGATAATCTTTCTTATATGATTGTTGGTATTAAAAGGGATAGTAAGTGAAAATACTTAGTAAAGTTCTTAGTCATATTAAATGTTAGCAACCGCCTAGTTACTGTTATTTATTATTTATCATTTTAGTTTTAGAATATTATTTTGGGTCTAGTGAAACCTGGCAAAAGATAATTGTGGCTTGGATTGGGGTGATAGCAAAGGAGTTTCTCTTATTTGCTGGGGACACTTTCTATGACCTTCAATGGGTGCCTAAAGCATTAGATAGTTCCAGACCTCTAACTAGTTTATCCATTCCATACTTTTATTTTTAAAGATTTATTTATTATGTATACAATGTTCTGCCTACATGTATGCCTGCACATCAGAAGAGGGCACCAGATCACATTATAGATGGTTGTGAGCCACCATGTGGTTGCTGGGAATCAAAATCAGGACCTTTGGAAGATCATCTAGTGCTCTTAATCTCCAGCCCCCATTCCATACTTTCAATAAAGAATAACTTACAAAGTATGCAAAGGAAGACAGTAAAGATAATAGGTAATAATAAAAATAATAGATAATTAAATAATATAATAATAAAATAACAGTCTGTTGTTATTTGAATGTGGGCTCTCTCAAGCTAGGATTTTCCAGTCAGTGTTTTCAGACTATAACTGAGCTTAGATAATGGACTATAAAACTGCAGATTGGGACTACTGTTCTGTGTAAGAGATGCTCAGAGGTAGACCCCTCAGCATACCGTGTGCTGGTGAATTAGTGTGGAAAGGGACTGGGAGAGGTAGGATCAGGAATCAGCTACCTCAGATAATCTGAGTGACAGTGACTTAAATACAAAAAGCTCTGAGCCAGGAGGCTGACCCTCCTGTGAGGCTGTTCTCTGCTGAAGCCTGTCACATCCTGCTGAGCATGTTTCTCAGGTCGTTACTTTCCTGAAGTAAACAGCGTCCACACTTCACTGAACTGTGATTGCAGGCATCCTTTTGCCCATAGTAATAAAGCATGTATAAAATAAGCAAAAATTAAAAAAAAAAAAAAAGTAAAAATACAACTTGGATCACATAGTGCTCTGTTCAAATATGTAGATCTCCTGGGATTATTATAGATGCCAGCGTTTATTTTCTTTTACTCTGCTGGGGGTGTGGGGCTTTATTTAGGCAAAGTTATCCCATTCCCACAGCACCCAGTTATTGAAAAGCACCATTTATGACAATATCCAAGAAAAATACTGTATGATTTCAATTTGCATTGTTTTAGATAAGTAGAAACAAGACTGAATTGTAACATGTAAAGACTTGTACCTGAATATTGGTGTGCTGCTTCAGGCTTGTCACTCCCATGTCACACCTAATTAGACTGAGGGAGAGGCAAAAGAGAGAGCAACACGGCACCTTTTTTTTTTTTTTTTAATATTGGCCAATATCCAATAAATGATCAAAGAAAATTAAGACTGAATATTGTCGTTCAGCTATAATTTCTTGTGCAGCTGAAATTCCTCAGTTGCCATGTACTGTTAACATGCTTCCTTTCTTTCACACTATTCTTTGTTCTTGGAGAAATGGTATACAAAAATAGGACTTTCCCCCTCACCCCTCTTGTAGTATGCTTCAGCCCAACTCCTAACTCCTCCCTCTTTTCCCATCCCCCGCTCCTCCTTTCTTTTCCTGACTCCCACCTCCCCACCTCCTATGGTTACTGCCCATTTTTCTTGGTGGCAGTCTGAATTCTGCTCATTTACCTAAGAGGAGGATTCCAAACTGACGAGGAAACACTGCACTGCGGGCACACAAGTCAGTGCCCACTGTGCCGTCGGCAAACTCGGAGCTCCTCTCTGGCGATGAATTCTAATGAGTTGCCCAAGATGCTGGAGCGTGTGCGAGCACGTGTTTTCCTTCCCTGCCCTTTTTCTCCCTTTCCCAAGCCCCTTCTCCCTGCTTCTCCTCCTACTCCTTTATCCCCTCCCTCTGTGCCTTAGTTCTGCAGTAGGGCAAGCTGAAGCACATTCCTGCATTGCAAGGCTTTCTGTTAAGGATGGATTGTGGCTTTTGTTTGGATTTCAGCATGCAGAATTACAGGTAACACTCTGAAATTGAGCTAAGCAGAGAAATTATATTAAGGTGTTTGCAGAGGTAAAATAGTACATTGGATTTAATGGAGAAAATTGATCTTAGTTAATTTTTATCAATGGTAATGTAACCAAATGTTTTCAGGATTAACATAAGGAAAGGCTTGCTCTTACAGCAGATTAAATAAAAGAAAATGAGCGTAAATGGATCTGTAATTTCTTTGTTTTTATGTTGGTCTTGGAAACATGGTATAGCTGCTCCTCTGCAGTAAGGGCCCTTTATGGAGGGTGCTGCTGAGGGTGAAGTGGGAGGGGTGGTGGCAGTCAGAGACAGCTAGGTTCTTTGACTAGGATGTGGAATGCAAAATGTAAAATGCTTTCTCCTTTTCTTCTATCAGCTGTTCAGAGGAGACTCATTACAACTCCTGCTGAAGCTTCTAATCTTCCTCCCTCTGCCCCTCCCCAACCCTCACTTGGCCTGAAGACACTATCCCCACTTTGCCTTACTCCCTTTGGTGCTATATGCGTGGTGAACCTGGCAGTATGGCCGCGTCTGGGACTGTCCAGACAACTGCTTTTGGTTCTCCCTATTCCAGGAAGAATTTAAAGGGAAATTACACAGCAGGCAATGTACGACAGCAGCAGCACCAGGAACCTGGTGACTAGGGCTTCCTGGCGTTGTCACACACAGAGCTGACTGCAGTGACAGTGGCTGCTCCTGGGAACTGTGACAGCAGCCAGGTGGCAGCATGAACTGAGAGCCAGTTCCTGAGCACGAGATGAACTCCACCTTGGATGGTAATCAGAGCAGCCATACTTTCTGTCTCCTGGCACTGGGCTACTTGGAAACTGTCAGGTTCTGTCTTTTGGAAGTGCTGATTATTGTCTTTCTAACTGTATTGATTATTTCTGGCAACATCATTGTGATTTTTGTGTTTCACTGTGCACCTCTGTTGAACCATCATACTACAAGTTATTTTATCCAGACAATGGCATATGCTGATCTCTTGGTTGGGGTAAGCTGTCTGGTCCCTTCCTTATCGCTCCTTCACTACCCCCTTCCAATGGAGGAGGCCATGACTTGCCAAGTATTTGGTTTTGTAGTGTCAGTTCTGAAGAGCGTCTCTATGACTTCTCTGGCCTGTATCAGCATTGATAGATATATTGCCATCACTAAGCCTTTAACCTATAATACCCTGGTTACTCCCTGGAGACTACGCCTTTGTATTTTTCTGATTTGGCTATATTCAACCCTGGTTTTCCTGCCCTCCTTCTTCCACTGGGGCAAACCTGGATATCATGGAGATGTATTCCAGTGGTGTGCAGAGTCCTGGCACACCAACCCCTACTTCACATTGTTCATCGTGATGATGCTGTATGCCCCAGCTGCCCTCATTGTCTGCTTCACGTATTTCAACATCTTCCGCATCTGCCAGCAGCATACAAAAGAAATCAGCGAAAGGCAAGCCCGATTCAGCAGCCAGAATGGGGAGACTGGGGAAGCTCAGAGCTGTCCAGATAAGCGCTATGCCATGGTCCTATTCAGAATCACAAGTGTATTTTATGTCCTCTGGTTGCCGTACATCATCTACTTCTTGCTGGAGAGCTCCACAGGCTGCAGCAGCCGCCTTGCATCCTTCCTGACTACCTGGCTTGCTATTAGTAACAGTTTCTGCAACTGTATCATTTACAGTCTCTCCAACAGCGTTTTTCAACGAGGACTAAAGGGCCTCTCGGGGTCTATGTGTACTTCTTGTGCAAGTCACACCACAGCCAAGGACCCTTACACAGTTAGAAGCAAAGGAGCCCCTAATGGATGTCATATCTGAGGGGCTTCATAGACTCAGTCGCTCTGTTTGCAAGGAGAAAGGGTGGCTTTGCTTCTGCTTTTCCCTTCCGTCTTTGTGCTCCCAGGTCACTAGAGGTCTAGGACAGAATTATTTGATTGTGAGCAGCTGCAGACTATCCAGATACCTTCTAAGTTTGCAGAAGTTGTTTTCTAAAGGAGATTTAAAATTAGAAGAATCAGAATCATGAAAAAAAAAAATCACTGGATCCAGTTTTTGAAATGTCATGGAAGTGACTACAGTTCTCAGATTCAAAAGGAATAAAGCTACAGCTGACACATCTCCCAGCTGCTGTGGCTGAACCTGGGTGTGAAAAGTGTCAGCACTTAAAAAAAAATCACCATTTTCTTGTCCCTTTTTGGATATCTTTTAACAGGGAATATTAAAATATACTGATGAACTAACAAGGATTTTCTTTATCTGTGCCAAAATATAACTGTACTGCAAGTTTCAGCTCATTTAGATAGTGAGATGTTTTGTTTTCTCATTTCTTGAGAGGAATCTCCATAGGATAAATAATGTGAACACTGAATATTACTTTTGAGAGTGTTGAAATGAACCATGAAACAACTGTGCAATGAAGTCAAACAGTTGTGAAAACGGCTGCTTTTACTTCGTGCTTCTGTGCATTGTGAACATGTGCAGAGAACATGCTCTGACATTACCGTGCTTTTCCTATGCCCCTGTGTTTGTGAACATTGAGAATATTTACACTGAATTAGATTTTTTATAACAATGTATTTAAATAAATAATAGACAGATAGCTGTCCATTTGTAAAGTGAAAAAATATATATATAAACATAACTTTTAGTGTTTTCTCTTCTTACCCAAAGTCTTCAATAAGAACTGAGTCCTAGGGGGCTAGAGAGATGGCTCAGAGGTTAAGAACACTGGCTGTTCTTCCAAAGGTCCTGAGTTCAATTCCCAGCAACCACATGGTGGCTTGTAACCATCTATAGTGAGATCTGGTGCCCTTTTCCAATGCACAGGCACACACACAGGCAAAATTTTGTATAATAAATAAATAAATAGTTGTTAAAAAAAAAAAAAAAAAAAAGAACTGAGTCCTAGAAGTGTCCGCTGACACACTCAGCCCAGGGCCTTCTAAACAGCATCAGCCAGCATCACAGTCACCAGTTCATTGCAGAAAACATTCTTTGGGGTCCTATTAAGGATTCACCTTTGAAGGGAAGGAAGGATTTAGTTGACCCCAGTCTCCTTCTTGCTATCTTCTTTTTGGAAAAAAAAATCCTTTGTCATTTCATCTTCCTGTTTTACTTTTGTTTTTCTAAAGCACTAGCAAATGTATAGAATTGTATTGCATCTAATTAGAATATTGTGTGATATATAGCATTAACCTTTGTTTTAAAAGTGACTGTCTTGAAAGCAAGAGAGTTGTTTGTCTAAAAGAAAAGAGGGCTGTTGGCAGCTCACATCAGAATCTCCTCTACCTTGTGTCAATTTTCATCTTTTTTTTTTTTTTTAACTTTGTGCTACTTTTCATTAAGTGTCAGGGAAATTAATTGGTCTTTGCCTTTGGCTAGAGGTTGTAGTGTGGAGGCAACAGTGATATTCAGTGAAATGGACAATGGAGGAAGCCAAGGGGATGCTGGCAAAAGTGGATTTCCAAATCCAAGAAGGACACAGATGTTTATAAAACAGGCAGATATGTTTTCTATCCTGATGTTAGAAGACTGTTCCCCTTTGAAAAAGAAGATATCATATCTTTTTCCTTACACACACACACACATACACACACACACACACACACACACACACACACACACACACACACACACCATTCTGGTATTGCATTCTTAGAAACAAGGCAAATAAATTTTACTTTTATATCCATAGCTGAACTTATTTGTTCTATTTTGCTTTTAAAGCCAATGTCTCACTCTGTAGCCCTGGCTGTCCTAGAACTCAATATCAAGACTGGACTGGCCTTGAACTCAGAGATCCACCTGTCTCTGCTGTGATTAAAGATCCACTATGCCCAGCTCCTAGCCAATTCTGATTTTATGTTTTAGACATTTCATTTTAACCTCAAATGTCCTCTGCTTTAAACTTTTTAAGTGACTAAGAATCATATGCTTCAGATTCCAAGTTCAAGAGGCAGGCCAATCTCTGAGTTCAAGGTCAGCTGCTCTACACAGTGAATTCCAGAGCACCCAGAGCTGTATAGTGAGATCCTGTCTCAAAAAACAAAAACAGATTCTGAGTTCTCCCCCAAGTCTTGTTTGTTCTTTATATGTAGTATTAACAAGTTTGACTCTGCTGTTTTGGAATTTAGAACTCATGCTGAAAATGGATGGTTAGAAATAGCTTTGTTGGGTTTCTGTTTCAAGAAGAAAACGCTTTCTCCTGGATTCTGAAAAAGTTAGTAATGTACATTTCTCCTTGCATTGCACAGCTTAAAGATTAGCTCTATAGATGCTGTTTGGATGTGTTTCCCTTCGTTGAAGTATACTCTTGTAGCCCAGGCTGGCCTCCCCTAGTTCCTTCTTCCTCCTTCCAAGTGCTAGAATTACAGCTGTGCCACCATACCACCTTCTTTTTCACACGTGCTAGGAAGTTTAATCTTTTCATATCAGCATTGTGCTTATGAATTTTTAGTTCAGCAAACATGGGAATCTTAGAGACAGCCTTTATAAAAATGCATTAAAGCAGTAGTAAGAGAACAGACTTTACTCTTAAAAGTTGTTAAGCCTTTTTTTTTTCCTCTGGGTTTTTTATAACAGTGGGAAAGAAAATTGTTCTGGTAATGCCTAACCAAGCTGATATGTTAATAAATTCAAACACAGCTTTTAAAATAAGATCTTTGTTAAGCAATAGCTTGGTTTTGCTAGTACTAAGTTTTGGTTTTATTTAAGGCAATTTTTCAAAGTAAAATCTATATTGCTGTTTGAGGCACAGACTGAAGACACTGAGTAGTTGCAGTAATTGTAAAGGAAAATGGGTAGACCCTTTCCCTTTATTACCCTTGGTAATAGCAGATATCTTCACAGTTTATCTTGTCTTCATTGTGCTGTGTAAACTTTTAAGGCTTACGGTATCAATTCTGTTGCTCTTTGATTTATTGCATGCACTGCCCTTTCATTTTTAATGTGCTGGGTAAGAAGAGATGAGGGGCTTAGTTACAGACTTCAGGGGCGGGAGAATTCTCTGCATGATAGACTTGAGAAGTTGGTGTTTAATCTTTTTATTCTGGCACATTTAATGCAACATTTGATGACATTTTGTTTAAATACCAATCTGACTAGTTCAGAGTGAGGAAAAAAATTATGTATTTTTAGACTCAGATACCTCAGATGGCTCATTTTAACTCTGGTTGTCCCTAGTATCAGAATGCATATATGCTTTTAGAGATGGTATGAAGTTACTTCGTGTAAAGTTTAAAGTAAGGTAAACTAGTGGCTTAACTTGTAAGTGAAGTGTGCTTTTATGCAGTGATTTCTGTGACATGTTTGTGCCTCTTAGAAGTGAGGAAGTTGTCGCATGTGAGCCAGTGCCTGCCTCAAAGAGAGCACTGAACAGGCCAAGAGGGTACTAAGACTGTTCACAGGCCTGCTGCTTCTTACTTAAAATCCTATTTTGGACAGATTTTCTTGTAGCAATATTGCTGGATGAGTTCTTTTTGAGCCTTTTATAAAGTGGCTTTTTCTTTGTACTTAAATAGTTTATTTAATATTTTTAGATTTGGAGAAGCTTGAACTTCCATGCTGTGAATGAACTGTCCATCCCCTTGAGTGTGAAATGGCAGACTTACGTGCTCAGATGGTGAAATGATTTGAGGATGATTTCCTCGGCTTTTCAAAGGTTCATTTGAAAAATGTACACAGTTACTTTGTAGGAAATGTCTTAATTTCATTGACCATGTGCTTCTGTATTTAAAAGATTTTTGAAGTAGTTATTGGCAAACTAGAGTTTTGTTATATGATCAGTTTGAGAGACATGTAAAGATGGGAGAATTGTAGCATTGTGAGATTTTCAAGCCCGTAAGTCATGGTGTATTGTGGTTTTGCATAATTTTCCTGTTTCAGGTTGAAGAAAACCAAATGTAAATATATTAAACTGCACATATTGTTAATACATATTGTTGTTTTTATAGATTCTAGAAATGAAGTAGCTATATCATAAGATTTCAAATGAGTCGCTGGCCTTTCTTTAAAATTTGGGTGGTAAAAGAATATCTAACACAATAACGGTGAACTTAACTGAGAATGTGAAATCCTGATTAGCTAGTTAGTAAAGTAGGGAGAGAAAAGATACTAGAGGTCCTTTCATGTTTTGTGGGGTTCAGTAGAACTGAATCAGATAACAGATGTAGACATATCTTGAAAACCATGAAGTGTTTAATGAATAAAAATGATCACTCTTGTTTTGTATCTGTCATTGCTTCACATGTAAGCTATGTGTTAATGGTGTGCTTCCATACATTTCAATCATGGATGTAAAAGTAACTTTTTTTTTTTTTTTTTTTGCCAGATTTAATTGTCATCTTGGAGGCTTACTGCCTCTGTTTGTTAACCTAGGGCCTAGTCCTGGAAGCTTCTAGCCTCCATATAAATCTAATGTAGGCCTAGAATGTTTTCAGCCTCTGAGACTTACTGCTGAATAAGCTCACCTTTTTACGTCTTTCTGAACTCTGGCTGGTTGGTTTAACTCAGCTGTTCTGGCTCAAACTCCCCTCCAAGCTAATTGATTCAAACTGGCTTCTCTCTGTTTCTGATTGAATTGCTCTGCTTGGCCTCAAACTAACTCTAGCAATCTGTTCTAATCTTCTGGCACCTTCTAATTCTCTGGCTCATTCTGTCTTCACCTGTGTATAGTTTGTTCTCTCTTCAAACTGTCTCTACAAAACTCTCAGTAAAACTGCCTCTGAATTCCATTGAACTGAAATGCTACAAACTCAACTCCATTGCACTGCCCCTCAACTTCTACTCAACCTAACTGACTGAACAGCACAGACTAGAACTCAGAGATCTGCATGCCTTTGTCTCCTGAGTGCTGGGAGTAAGGGCATGTACCACAGCGCCTGAACTTAAGCTTTTCTTTACCTGAAACTTGTTCTATACTTGGCTGGTCTTAAACTCAGAGATCTGCTTGGCTCTGTCTCCAAAGGCGTGTCTGTATTCCTGCCAGATCACACAGACCTAGAAAGTCTTTGGATGTGATCTCTTGCCAGAGCAGCCAGTGTTCTGAGTTAAAATTCTTCTACACGTGGAGCGGGGCTCAATGCTAGGTCACTCACTGCTCTGTGCTATTTAGCAGTCCCAGACCTGAGACGATGTGACTACTTGTTTACTTCGTTTTATTGTCTGAAAACTTAGTGAGGATAAGGGGCAGTACCCCGACTAGCTGCATCCCAAGTCTAAAGCACAACTGTTGTAGAGCGGAAGTAGTAAACAACAGAATGATTAAATGACTTTTATTAGTCACTTGCCTTTCTCCCTTTTGTCCTTCTGTGACTGACAGTAGGACTGTTTTAAATGCAATCACAAGCCCTCTAAACAACGTTCCATATGATCTGGGCTACTCTAGGCTCCTTAGAAATGATATTACTATTTGTTCTCTTTTTCTTTTTTAATGAGAGGGCTGCCCTATGCCTGCCATTGTTACCAAACTGCAGTTTCCCACAGCGTAGATGAGATGCACATAGACTGAGCACACCTTGGCTCTAGATCCAAACAAGAGAAGCTGTGTCTCTATGTTAGTTTTCTAGCTCTGTCTTTTCCTGGCATTGATGGTTGTG